CTGACAGAAAATAGCAAAGAACAACAAAATTTACATGATGTGTACATCAAGAGCCCAAGCAAATGTACGTGCAACATCATCAAGTTGCAAGTAAAGTAGAACTGCCTAAAGGCCCCATATATCAAAGAACGTTTATACGTGAAACCTCAGCTCGAGAAAATAATCATATACGGCTTCATTTTTGAGTCGTTTACCTTCGTGGATTCTTCTTTGATGACAAGTGCATTTGCCATAAGAAAAGGAAAGCCAGCGATGTTCTCGTACAAACAGTGCCATTTCACCTTCCAACCGCGCCAAAATTTCCTTTGATACAAACTGAGTATCCTTCTGCAAACGGCAAACCAACACCAATGATTAATTCCATGCTGCGTTTGCGTATTTTTGTAACAAATGGCTGAATTTAGCCATTAGTAAGAGACAATTTTAACACGACCTTTTCTTGCCGGTCGAATTGTATGTCTTGTACTGTGTGTCTCGGTTTTTGTAGCCTTAGCGACTATTTCTACCTTCGACATTGAATAGGATCTGAATATGGGTGGACTGGTGTGGTACAGGATGTGTCAAAAACGAATTCAGTCAATAATTATGACCAGGATGGTTTCTCGTTTTACAATAAAAAAGATAACAAAGACAAAGTTACTAAAGCGTGTTCCCTTTGCCAACATCCTTTCCTATGAGTTTATTCCACTGACTGATTATTCATCAAAACTACACCATTAATTATGGGTGTCCTGTGCTCTGGGTGTGCTTTTGAGCTAACAATCGATAATGTATCACAAACCTGTCAGTCCACAGGACAACTACACTCGATTCTTCCTCTGTAATGCCCATGTGGTCAACATAAACATCATCAAATTGATCTAAACTCTGTTGAAGAAAACACAAAGCAATCGAATCATTTGGCCAATTTTAGCACTCTACCACTACACCGACAATTTTTCCACGCACGTTGTTAGAGTGAAGTCAAATAAAAAAGTAGAATTTATCATCAGCGGAACCAACTGGGAATCACACCAAGGATGGTATCACAAGACAAAATTGCTTGTAAAAAAAATATTTGTACAATGTTTCTCTAAACAGCTGTTAGGGTTTCCCTGAGAGGAAAAATTCAAATGTATAGTCTTAAATAAAGCTTTAATTTAAATATAAACCACAAATGAAAGACAAGATTAACAAAGTGAGGTTAAGGTAAAGTCTCCATACGAGCCAAGTGGTCCATCAGGCCGGAGCTTATCTCAGTTTCTGTAGCATGAAGCGACTAGGGATATTTCTACTCCCATCTGGATGGGATGCTAGTCCACTGCAGCGTTAGCCTTCAGCATTAAATTCGCCGATACCCGTTTATATTCCTGGGTGGAGAGGCACTGTGAGAGTCAAGTGTCTTGTCCAAAAACACAACACAATTTCCCCGGCCAGGGCTCGAACCCGGACCGGTCGATCAGGAGTCGAGCGCACTAACCATGAAGCCACCCCTCCTCCCTAACCAAATGAACGTATGTCGTTAACTTCTCACCTTTAAGATACCATTTCCTTCAGCGTCATGTTCTGAAAACGGCTTGAGAGGCTTAAGACGAAAAAAAGGCGATTACTATTCGAAAGTTTTTCAATATTTTTTTTCAAGCGATCATTGCAAAATGAAACTGCCACACGTGCACGGCAAAATAAATGTGTATATAACGTAATATTACAATAAGAACATCAACTTCTTGACGTTGCTTTCTTTACCATATTGGGAGCTGTAAAGCGAGGAAGCCTATTCCTTATAGGGATGTCTTCGCCGTTCTGTTCCACTGACCTGCAAAACAAAGCCAGAGGTTACCAGGCACAAAACAAAAAAACAGCTCAAATTCACGCAAAAGAAGAATTGACAACAAAGAGGGAGTATTACCTTAATTCACGTCCAAATTCTGACATTAACAAATATATGGTATTCATTAGGGTAAAAACTAAATAAATAGGGTAAACCCCTCGAAAGAATGATGATTCTTCCCAATTATGCAAAGTTGTGTTTGGTTACTGGTATTTTTGTTATATCATTAGAAACTAATGGTTTTTATCATATTTTCTAATATTTATAATATATGGCAGATCTTTTTTTACTTCTTTCTTTGAGAAATCAACCTGTCAGTCGGTCAGTCAGACTGTCTGTCTGTCAGGGAGAGACAGTCAGACATGTTGGACAGTCACCTTGCGAAGCCAGCCAGTGAGAGAGTCAATCAGCTGAACCGTCATTGTGACGAGGAATCTTTCGTCTGTCCGTCCGTCCGTCAGTCAGTCAGTCAGCTGGTAAGAGAGTCAGTCAGTCAGTCAGTCAGTCAGTCAGCCAGACAGTCAGACATTCAAACAGTTAGTCAGTCAGTCAGCCAGCCAGCCAGACAGTCAAACAGTCAGTCAGTCAGACAGTCAGACAGTCAGTCAGTCAGACAGTCAGACAGTCAGACAGTCAGACATTCGGTCGGTCGGTCGGTCAGTCAGTCGGTTGGTCCGTTGGCTGGTCGGTCTGTCAGTCAGTCAGTCTGTCCATCAGCCCGTCCGTTTTCATTCAGTCGATCGGTCTGTTGGTTGATCGAGGGGTCAGTAAATAACGTACTTGTGTGATAAAAAATTTAAATATAAAAAGTTTAACCTTCTCACTCCATCAAGTGTAAAGCTGACCATGTCAACAACTCCCCCGGTTGGATGAACTAGCAGTCCAAGGAGACCTTTTCCAATCCCCTTGAAGAACCCTTCGACACCCTCTGCTCCAGCGCCTAGCAAACACAAATATAAGGGGTTAGAGTGAGGTTTAAAAGCGTGAATCAAAGGCGACATATTGGAAGTAGAAGAATTTGTTCCTTTTTGTAAATCGAAAAGACCACTGTGCATAGTTTTCGTACAGTGTCAGTCTAACACGTGACTATGTACATTATTTGGCCAGTTATAAAGCAAGATCGAGCTCATGTTCAAAAACGTACCTTCCACAGGTTTCACTACAACGCCGGTCACTCCAAAGAAGAGACCCTGAAATGAAATAGACATTAATCATATGACACTCAAGCATGGAAATTTGGTACTTTGAGTGTTTTTTCTTCGTTTATGAGCAATTAACAGTTGATATTTGATCAGTATGTGTCAGTTGCAAACGATCAATAAGGTTAACTCACCATTAAAAAACTCTTTCCTCCCATTAACAGTCCTTGGCCGACGCCTTCAGGCCCTATGCGCATGCGCATTCGTCTCCGCTGAAGAAAACCAAATTAATTTATAGGTACGTGTTGCGTGGAGACACACACGTACTTTGAGACAAGTTTAACCCGTTATGTTTGTACATGGTATAAAAATGCACTGGTGCAATCATTATTCTGTGCTGAACATTGCTCAAAAAATGCTGGGTTTTTTCTACCGTTAACCCGGGTTTTTGGCTGCCACGGTCCTGAATTGGCCTCAACTTTGCTGAAAAAGCGATTTCTTACCAGGGACCAAGATTTCCCTGCGGATTAGGTCCCAAAATGTACCATGTTTTACTTTAGAGCATGCGCATAAGCCAAATATTGGACTTTTTTTTTGACAGCCCTAAAAAGTTCAATGATGATTAAGTTTAAATTCTGGAAATGGAACCTTGATCGATTTTAGGTGTAATGGGCCTTTTTTTCCACCAATTTTGCACCAATTTTGCACCTTTTTTTTTCAGTTAGCTACATGTACGTCAGAACGCGGTTGATATCCAAAACGGACAGTTTTGCGGATAGATCTATCCTATTATCTGCTTATCAATAATAAGTTATCTTGGCCAGGTACTAAAGTACTTTTTCATTGCGGGAAACCTGAAAATAATAGTTAACTCAGATAAAAAGTCACCAAAGAGATAATAATAAACCATAAAGGAACAAGGATGGTTAAGGATGGAGAAGATTTTAAATTTAAACACGGATTGCAAACGACGAACTTGAAAAATTTAGGCTAAACTTTTCAGCATGGGAAAACCATGACGTAGTTCCTTAATGACACTCTCCAGAAGACCGCTACAATGAGATACCTACCATCTGAAAATTTGAGTCAAATGTAAGCGTAGCTACCGCCTGTCCCAAGGAGCCAGTAATACGAGAAAACGCCCCTGCGGTATCACCTCGAAGGAAATGAAACGTTGCTTTAGAACTGATACAACAAGGTGTTCAACAAATTTACAACTGCAGTAAACTAGCAAAAGACCACCGAATTACCACTGATAATTGCGGTAACTTATAACAACTGGCTTATAAACACAGTCAAGAGAATAATGACGCTTAAGGTCATTCCCCAGTATTGCATTGCGTATCCCTACTGCGCATAATTTCACGCGTGATTAACGCGCGCGCATTAATAAATGGCGGCTTTTTCTTTACTGCTGGACCTCGCCATAGAGGTAAATCGTCATTTTCTCGCAAACGAGTATGGTGACCTATCATTTTTTCTGTTGTTTTNTACGGAATTTCACCGAAGGAAACGCGAGAAAATTCACTGTCAGTTTTGCTTTTTGTGCTCATGTTGACGTAATAAAATATCGCAAAACACTGACGTTTTCCCTTGAGCGCGCGTAGATTACTTCCTCAGCGCTCGCGCGATCGTAAAACTATACGGAGCCACCTTAAGGTCATTCCCCAGCACTGCATTGCGCATCCCTACTGCGCATAATTTCACGCGTGATTAGCGCGCGCATTAAGAAATGGCGGCTTTCTCTTTACTGCTGAACCTCGCCATAGAGGTAAATCGTCATTTTCTCGCAAACGAGTATGGTGACCTATCATTTTTTCTGTTGTTTTGAATTGAGTAATAAATTTGCTCTGTGTAATATATGGACCAATTCTCAGCGTAGAACAAAAAACAATCGTCGGAAACGTGAAATTAGCAAGCAGTCGTGACTACAATCATGGTGCTATTATAAGGATTTATTGGGTATAAATAAGGTGCTGTTCCACCTAAACGAACGTGGGGACCCCTCATTTTTATTTCAAAATTTAAGTTCCTACAATATAAACAATCAATAGGCAAATTTTCACAAAAATCTCAGTGCAATCTCTATTTCAGTGGAATGACCTTAAGGTGGTATGGTATCCTAAAATGGACCAAAAAGTTTGTTCAAATGTGGTGAAGAAAAATCAATTGTGTGCTATTGCACTCAAGAAGAGAAATTAAATTTTGAAAGTTTTACTCAAAATGGTTGCTACGGAAACCAGCCATAGCCTTTTGAGGTAGTGTTTTACAGTATTGACGCCAACACTAATAAATTTGTGACAGAGGGAACTTCGCAATCATTGCCGCAGACTCCGTAGCATGTAGTGAAACCACCAATTAATTTCATCGTTCTTTGCGGCCTCGCTCACCGATGTAGGATATAATTTCGGCCAAGTAACGATCTCTACCCTCAATACTTCTCGTTGAAACGATCCTCTGCTGTATTAATCGATAGCATTGTGTATTAGTTTGACGTGAATAAGAACGCACTATTCCGTGACTCGACGTGACTAATTGATTACTTCTCGTTTAGGCCATCCCCTTTTTTTCTTTTTCTTTTGTTGTCGAATGCGTTTTCTGATTTTGGGTTGGTCGGTCGGAAAAGGAAAAACAAAAAAACAAAAAAAAAATTTGAAAAGGAGTCTGGAGCTAGGAGGCCCGGTACCTCAGCGTAATATCCATGGAGCCTGGAAACAACAAGGTGTGGTTACAAAGTCAACATCGCGGCAATTGAGGAAGGAAAAGTCGACGTCGTTGTTAAAATCGAACGAGAACAGGGAAAAACTAAAAATCTGTAAGACAAAAAACTGCTTATGTTTCAGATTAAATTGACAATTGTTTGAAATAATGTGTCATTGCCTTCATTGCCTTCTGTGTAACTTTTTTTTTTTTAGAAAACGCGAAAATCTGGGTCGGTCGGACGACGCTAAACAGAGAAAAATAGGGGGATGGCCTTATCGCGAAATGAAAATTTGCGTTTTGAATAAAACAACATCGATCGTTCATTTTTATTCCATTGATGTCCAGCAGTGAGTAAAAAGAAAAATACACAACTATTCTTATATTTTCGAGGTNGTTTTGAATAAAACAACATCGATCGTTCATTTTTATTCCATTGATGTCCAGCAGTGAGTAAAAAAAAAAAATACACAACTATTCTTATATTTTCGAGGTAACGAGGGTATCATGTTGGATACCTTGGCGACGAAAACAAAAGTATCAAACGACAAACGTCGGCGTGAGGAATAAAATTATCACATTTTCTACTTCTACGTATTATTGAATTTAAAATGAACGAAACTCAAAGTAAAACTCTACGATAAAATTCAAACGTCTTGACAAACGGTAATTGTAAGTTATTTTGGGCCTTGAAAGGAAATACAAACATGAAACATACACACTGCTAAGATTATGCCTTATCACCTTTTTGTCCGCTCATATTCTTCAAAGGGGAAAAGGTCTAGTTGACTACCAAGGGAGAGAACGGCAAGGGCGAGGACCTGTGTGACTACTGTATCAGAGCCGTAAATTGAACTCTGCACTATCCGAGATTGTCCTACTAGTTAAACTAAACAAGGGATTATATGAATTTTTTTAAAATTGGAACTGCGGAGAAATTAGAGATGAAAGACATGAATAAACATTGGAGTTACGAACACAACTTTAGCAGTTTACTGAAAGCTACAATCAGGATCGTCTAATCAGCTGCTTCTTCCTGCATTGCTATAATTCTATTAAAGACCCATTGAACACTTTAGACGTCGCAAAGAAGTTTGCTTGTGCAAAATAACAATACAAAAGAGATTTTGGAAAATACGAGTAGAAATAAACGCTTAGTTTAACGATGAGCCCCCCCGGGATGCGTTTCAAAACGCTCCTTCGCCTCTGTTCTGAATATTTGATCAAATGGTTCTCGACGTTCAAATTTTACCAAACACGCGATCAAACAAGGTGTTCAAATGGCAAAATGTTTAATTTGGTCACCCAACAATGTTTGATCGCCAAACATTTCCCGTTTGCATGGACAAGGCTTGATATAAAACTATTCCAAAGCGCTTAACACAATGCTTACTTAAAGAATATTGAGAAATGTGTGTAATAAAATCTAAAAATATCATATAGTGTACATGTCTNTGTTGCTCCTAAACGAACATGGGGACCCCTCATTTTTATTTCAAAACTTAAGTTCATATAATATAAACAATTCAATCAATAGGCAAAGTTTCACAAAAATCTCAGTGTAGGTTCTATTTCAGTGGAATGACCTTAAACAATTAGAATTCACATTAAAAACAAAAGCAACAGTTGACTTAAGTGCATTTGAAAAACCTCATACATTATTCTCCTTCTGGCACTCAATTTCACTATGAAAATTCAACAATCACACCGACCACAAACTTGCTAAGTTATTAGTCTTCTAATATACCTATCACGTGACCCAACAAACTCTTCACACCGCGAGCCACTCCTTCAGCAAACCCGCTGGGCCCTGCAATGATACCCTGAGAGAAAAACAAATGACAACATAGGATTTAAATGTATTAACTGATGAATGAGCTATCATTTCTTCTTTAATCACCAAAGTCCGAAATCAAAACAAAAAAAGGATGTGAAACAAGCTTCACCTGGTAAGGCTCGTAGAAGAAATCTCTGACTCCCTCGCCAATCCCATGAATGAGCCCGTACGGGTTACCAATTACATCAAGGCCCAATACAAGGACATAGACTTGGCGAACACCCTGTGGGAAAAACAATGAGGAACTCAGTTCTTACGACAGATTTGAAATTTCTAAGAAATTAATACATCGAGATAATTGTCACCACGTTTGCTTAGCAAAGAAATGACATTTCAAGTTATTGATTACAGAATTCTTGCAAGTAAGATAAGATACGTGATGCCCAGTCCCGTGGCAGTATTCACGCTTTGATCTAGAGGGCAAGATGTATGCCAGTCCTAGATATTTGTTGAAGCAACTGAAGGACAACGAAGCAAAGCACAAAGATAACAAGTTTGCTTGAAAAAATACATGTAGCCAACAGCAAACAATATGTGAACTAGTAATAAGCATTATGTGTATTACTAACAAAAACAATTTGTCAAGAATCTGCCATCACCAAATTGTTTTTTTTTTACCTGCATGGTATAATGTCGCCTGATCTGGGCAAGAAGGTTTTCTTGAGTCAAAAATACACTGACACGTTCAAAACATGCCATCCTGCAAGAACATAAGCAATATACCATCAAACCTTCGGAAAGTGAAGAAAAACAGAAACGGCCCTAAGGTGCTAATGCGTAACTAGAAACAAAAAGAGCATCTTGGGCAGACATATATATCTGTGTGTGTGTCGTTGTAAGGAACATGTGCTACTCAAAAGATTCATTTGACGTCAAATCTATCTCCCTAGACAAAAGTACAGAGTACGTCATAAGTTAGTTCAGTGCCCTTACTTTAATTCAACATCGTTGATGTCCGTCAGCGTTGCCCCGATAGAATCAATAAAGAAGTCCAACAAGTCGTGAGCAAAAGCTTGGTCTTCATCGTCTTCGTCAAACGAAGACGCCAGTGAAAAGCTGAGATTGATCTAACGAAGAAATCTCTGGAAGTTAGTAAGTCTAAGGAAATCATCGCTCGTTTAACAGCATAAAGTAGGTTCGCAAACTGAGAACGTGACCAATCAGAATCAAAATTTGTCAGGGGCCTGTTTCTCGAAAGCCCCGGAACCTTTTCGGGTCCGCAAGGCAGTGAGGTGTATACGCCTGAAACTTGTTGTAGGAAGAGAACCTCTAATCATATTAAGAATATGTGAATAAAACAGCTCAGTAGTCATAAGATTTGATATTTTGCTACGGCTTTCCGGGTGCGAGACCTTTCGGGACCTTCGAGAAACGGGCCCCTGGTCTTACAGCCTCAGTCAATTTAGTCAACAATGCCTTTGTCCTTCTTAAATTCGCCACAGATACGGAGTCCAATTTGTAATATTTAATGTTACTAGATGAATAATAGCTTCATGAGACACCAGCTGCAGCTGAATCACACAAGTGGTAAACGACAAACCATTTATTGATGACTTTTCACACATATTTACAACTTCTAATGCGAATATTCCAAACAGAGGTTTTTACTACCTCCTGCGAAGATTAGTTAGGATATCTATTAAGCCTCATTTACTAAAATGGTTTATCCATCCACTTCCATGAACATGAAAAACACCGACGCCACCTTCTTCGGGACGACTACTCTTCTGCAATTCACCCTTAAAGGAGCTCAGTCATGGTTTGCGCATATTGACAAGTTTAGCCTCAATTTTTCAAATTCGTCGTTTGTAATCCGTGTCAATCTTCTCCATCCTTAGCCATCCTTGTTCCTTTATGGTTTATCATTATCTCTTTGGTGTTTTTCTATCTTATCAAACTGTTATTTTCAGGTTTTCTACCATTTAAAGGTAATTTTGTATGTGGCCAAAATAACTCAAAATACCGTGACTGAGCCCCTTTAAGATCACATTTCATGAACGGGAAAGTGCAATACAAATACGAGCAACAAACCTTGAGTGGGGACAAATGAAAGAATTCCAGGAAAACTTTCTGGGTCTCCAACGCAGCCTTCAGTAAGAAAAAAAAAATCATTTGTGAGACAAAATTTCACGATGAATACTACTATTTTGATACTTTACACTGCCGTAAAAGATAGCCATTGCCAGTGCTGTAAAAGAGTGTCTAACAGATAATCAGAAAATGGCAAAAAATAGCTACAAACTTTGACCGCCTCTGTTTCTCTTAATGGTACCGCGACTCTCTTCATGTCTTCTTCAAAATAGGTTTCCTGCCATAAAATGAAATACATTGTTAAAAAATGTTACTCGTTTGTTTATAGTGACCAATGCACTTAACTGCACCTTGCTAGTTCTCAAGCATGCCACTTAAACTGAAATATTCAAATAAACATTACAGGCTTAAAAATCCCAACTGGCGGGAGGCAGACCAATATGGCTGAGGACTTGAAGTACCAACACCAGCTTAATGATCAGAGCGGGACTTGAACCCACGACCTCCGGATTTCAAGTCCGACGCCCTAACCACTCGGCCACGCTGTTTCCTCTATAACCAAACGACAAACAAACACTAATAATAACGCAGTCAAGGAGGAAATGTAGCCCGAAAGAACAAATAAAATAAATTAGTTTGGAACTACTCTATACGAAGGCAAAAGTACTAATTGAAAAATATATGAAAAACAACTTTTTTATTAGACAATAAATAGCCTGCAGTGCAGGCGTTATTTTGGAACAGAACGCTCAATAAACCAGGTTTTCGATGCCGCCATTTTGAATTGTAATTAGATACTTGACCAATAAATGGCTGGGCCAGGATGCGTGGTTGGAGCAAAGGGTAGGCGTGTTTTCCTCCCCCTCCCCCCTTGCCATTTTTTTTCCACTCCACGCCCACTCCCTCGGCAAATTTTCGCACGCCCCAACACTCCACAGGTACCAAATCCAAGATGGGGGCCTGATACAAAAATGTTCACTCGCGCGCCAATAACAAGGCTGGACAATAAAAGTCAAGATTTTCGAATTCTTCAAACAAACGAAAACGACCAACTTGTCAGCTGTTTGTGTATTTGTTCACCGGTACTCTATTTTGCACCACCTCAATTTATTTTAGGTTGAACCATAACCTAATATGATTACCTCTTCCAGAAGTTCTTTCTGTTGGCTGAAAAGGCTGGCCAAGGAAATAATCAATTCTTTGTCAACTTTGACATTCATCTCCTGTACCAGCGCCATGGCATACCTATACGACGGCAAACAAAGTGAAGACCACAATCCAATTGTAAATGCTGTGTAATTAAAGCTTTTGTCGAAACGTCAAAAGTTAAACTCACTTAATGTGATGCATGCCTTCTCTTGGGACTTGGTGGTAAATCAGTGAGACTTCAATGAAAGGCTTGAACCCTGAAAGAATGCAACAGAATGAGTTTACACCGCGTGAACGTTGGCGACGAGCAGCCACATAATATCCTTAGAGAGTGTCCACTAGTGTACATGTATTTGGGGACTAACGCAGTCGGCCTCGTAATTCCAAATATTACAATGGATTATGTTACATTTTACGAGTCTTCCCATGACTCTATTATTTCAAGGAAAGCAGGAAGTTTCCATTTCTCTTATATAAAAAGGCTTGAAATACTTGTCTGTGTTCCTATACAGTAAATAGAAAATCACACGCATGCTTTGATTGCCTGTTGTGAACGAAAGATGCGGAGAAAATTTCGGATAACTTCAAAGCGTTTGTCGTTTAGTCAGACTTTGTCAACAGGAAGAGTCTGTTTTCAACAGGATGTAATAAAACCTCATAACCACGTTGCATAACCTCAAAGGAACTTCATAACCACTCAGAGTTCGAGCTTTCAAGCGATCACAGTTGTATCAAAAAATCAGCACGTACCAGATCTCTGAATGACGGACACAGGAAGTGGAGAAGGATAAAGGGCAACAGGAAAAACGGTACCAATATGCTGATTATCAATCTGAAAATAAAAACAATAGTCTTGGATGATTTCGGTGACTAGGAACGTTATATCTAAACATGAGAACACTCTGAAGCTTCATTGACAGTAACATTGAAGCCACTTGGGGTTCTGATGATTCGAACGCCCCAAGCACGTAGCCCCAATGAGCCTCAACATTCGATGCTTTTTTTCTTTCCTTTTCATTGACCCACAGCCCACTACGTGACCTACAAGTAACTGTCTAAATGTGTTTTTCTGCAAATACTGTTCAGCAGATTGCTATCCTGAGTTGACAGAGATTGATATAAATAAAAACAAACTTGGTGATCGAATGATAAAACAATTATTGAACTAGGTTATCGCAAAATATCGTTATTTGTCAGTGTCTCCGCAGATCAATTATTTACCTCATATCACGATATTTTGCCCAATCTTGTCCAATAACTGGTAATGATCTCTCGTAGTAACGTGGAACCGTGGTTTGAGCGTAGAGAAAATCAGCCGTCCTTACCTGAATGTGGTGCATTTTACAGTGCAAACTGTGATAATGGTCCGAGCTCGTGTAGTTAAACCACAGAGCAGGTTCAAACAGTCTTCGAATGGCACCTCTATAAGGACGACTCATACTCATTGAGTTAAAGTTAACCTGCACAAAGATCAAAATAACTTTGAGCGATTACACATCTACTGAAAAACAAGAATCTTAGCCAATTCGCTTATCAATATTTGCCAAGCACACCGGAGAGTAACTGGCCAATTTATAGAACTTTTTTTGGAAAATGAGTTAATATATGCTTGTCTGGGATTGTAAGAGATTTTAAATGCTAACCCTACAAAAAATATATCATCTCTCAGCGGGGAGTGCAGAAGAAATAAGGAAAAACGTTACGAGACTTCACAACAGTTAAGGCCTAACCGTAGATACCGACGCATCCGTTGCCTTCAAAAACAGTACTTTTATAAATTTTACTATTCCTAAATTGCGATCTTAAGATATTGAACTCAAGTAAAATTACTCTCGCACCTCCTTGTCTTCCAAAGTGACTTCACCAGCATTATTACTCCAGGCATCTTCCAACCAAGTGGACCACTCTAGATTTAGAGTTTTCCATCTTCCAGGCGATCTCTCCACCTGCCACACTGAAGCCGATCTGTGGAACAATTTACAAACACGATATTAAAGGAGCTACGCTATGGTTCGTGAATCTTGAAAAGTTTTTCTAACTTAACAAAATATTATTTTGAGGTTTCCTTCAATTCAGTCAAAGGAGATGACAAAAATGACTCATAACTCGTGACAATGCTACTTTAGCAGCTTTCACCATCAGCATCTATCCTCACAGGGGGGATTTTGCTAATTCACACGAAAAGAAGGCATTCTTACAGGGAATTAAGTTATATTCTGAGTCTTTCGATATCTCTGTTGAAATCAGGAAAAACGTCCCTATTCCTCTTACACACAACATATCAAAATGGCATCAAGAAATACTTTACTACAATTCCATACAGGAAATAGAAAAAGGCATGCGTTTCGGCTTGGTTCAAGAAAGACAAAGTAACGGTCAAAATAATCACGGAGGAAAGTGATACCTTTTAATGTAAATCGAAAAAGGGGAATCAGGTAGTCTTGACGACCACATAGAAATAAAAGTCCTGTCTAAAATGAAGGGAGGTGAAAGAGCCAGTGACGCTGTAGTAACTGATCTGGCAGCTCTCAGAGAGCTCCAAATTAGTAGATAGAGCACTGTAGACAATTGCTAAATGATTGGATAGATGTCAATTCTCCCCATAATGTACGGGACAAGAGACTCGGAAATTAACCTTGGGGATAGCCGTGCGATGGACTAGCATCCCATCCGGGGTGGAGTAGAAATACTCCTAGTCGCTTCATGCTACAGAAACTGGAGATAAGCGTCGGCATAATGGGCCACTTGGCTCGTATCCATAATGTACAGGACATGAGCGTTAAAACCCGTGACTCGGCTCACATACCTTCGCAACTTAATGTACGCTACTTCATCGGGTTTGCTGTTAACCAGAGACAAACCAACTCCATCCAGTGAAATGAACAGCTCCATGTTCACAACTTCATAGTCACAACACTAGAAGTAAATAAACGACAACAAGAAACTCTCAATTACTCGCTTAAACAAAGAGTTGTTATATTCTGTAAACACATACAATAGATTCATTTAAAATAGGTTACCCCAACTTTGGCGAGGCTGCTGTCCGACAATTAACGTTTTACCAAAAAATTATGGTTCACTGGTCAACGAATTACAACCCTAAACTGTAAGAAGTGACTACAGGCGTCAAATGTACGGAAATAGAAGTGCTTCCTCGAGTAATGATTATAACGTTACAACTTAGGAAGGTAATTTCTTCAAGGAATTCCTCAATACAGCATCTTATTAAAACGTCTTTAAGTTTAGTAACCTTTCACCTTGGCGAACTAGCTGTAATCTCCAGGTATTCCGTAACCTAGCTCTATTTGTAAGGTAGCTGAGACATCGCGTCATTTGAACCGAAACCTATACCAACCTTTCGAGCAAGGCATGAAAGATTCTCATCATCAGCAAATATCAGTACTCTCTGAAGGCCATCCATTACAGATACCCAATGGATGGTTTTCTTGACTCTCTGGTACATCGGCCCATCAACGCTGTCCAAGTCATCCACTCTTTCAGGTACCGCGACCGATGATCCACAAAGCAGTCCACAAGTGGCGTCTCTGTCTTCTAATTGCTTCCGGTCATCGTCGACAGGCGGCGTGCTCTCATCTAGTTCCACTCGAATTTCACCGAAATCATCCTGTAATTAGAATGGTTTTGTAATGTCCTCCAAAAAAGCAAAACAATTTTCCTACCAAACACCGCAGACCCGAAAATGGACGAGCCAATTAAAATAGACCTTTCCCGTATTCCAACAAACAATGGAGCCGATTCGAGGTCAGGGTGGACAAAAATACAGCAAGTGTGTGAAAATGCACACCCCAACCTCACTCTGCTGCAATTATTCGAAAGCACTGAAGTGGAATGCGGGAAAGGTCTATTGGAAGTTTAAAAAACATACAAATGGACCACGCGAGGAGCGTCACAATTGGTTTTGGTTTCCCTCCAGATTGTTTCAGAAAAACACAAACAAACACAGAAAACGGTTGCGGTAATAGTCCATTTTACAGTCCCATGCTTAGTCATTTGGCCTTTGAACAGAAGAGAGGCTAGAAGTGACATTGTTACGGTACAAACCTTACCACTTTTTAAATGTAAATTATCCTGTTATCACGTTAACCAATTTCTACATGGAAAGTAATTCTGATGCCAGGACAGGTCAAAAAAAAAAAAATATATATATATATATATATATATCTCTTGATAATTGCTGCTTAGCCTGCGTAGCTTGGCGGTTTAAGTAATTTTTAAGCAATTTTTTAAGAAATTTGAGCACGAGTGCACAAAGCGGCGAAGCCGCGAGGAACCGCCGGTTTCTCAGTTGTCTCTGTCCCAGGCTCCTTGCGACTTCGCCGCTCTCGCCGCTTTCTCAGCGCGCTCAAATTGCTTACAAACCGCCAAGCTACGCAGGCTAATTGCTGCTTTCTGACGCACTTTTCAAAAACAAAGAAGTACAACGTATGACCACACGTTCTATTACCGTGATATTTCGAACAAAACAATAACACATTATGGTGGTAACCTGGTGTGCTTGCAACCAAAAAATTCCAAAATACTTAAAATGTAACCTCATCAAACGCATTCTGAAGAGCTATTAAAGAAAAAATAACGACGCAGGGTTGCACAATCCCGGGGAGACCTCCCTATGAATAGGCCGGGGATGATCCTCATCTCGCTTCGGGGTATATATCAAGGATTCTGGTCTTACTTAGGGTGTTGATGACGAAACACCACTATTTTTAGCTGTCAAAGTATCTTTTATAGGGTGCACTCGAGGAAATAATAATAAAAGAAACGCTCTTATTTCCGTTTTTAGGCTCGATTTCCGTCGGTCTTTCGACTCCGGTTTACTTGCACGGGTTCCTTTCCTGAACAGCGGCTGGTAATCGAGCCTGTCCCGTTTTAAGTGCTATCTATTAGGAGTCAAATAAAGTTCGAGCCACGCCCAAATTGGTCAACTTAATGGGTTAAGTTCAAATTTTTCGACGAGCATCCCCGAACTTTTCAAATGAAAGTTCCTCCCCCCCCCCAGGGTGCACAATTTAAATCAACCGAAACACAAAAAAATTAAATGTCTTCCAAATTTTTTACCTTGTCCACTGGGATCTCTACTGGCTTATCTATTGCCATGTATGGTTTCCAGAAGAGTTTTCTGACGCCTCGGGGATCATCCCACGTGTAAAGGATCATTTTCTTGGAATCTAGGAGAGTGACTTGCCCAGAATCCCTGCAAATCATAAGTACCACGAAAAAGACGATGAGGAAAAAGAAAAAAAAAACTATTTTCATGTTAATTAACCGAAGAAGTGTGAAAATCTGCCCCAAACAAACTGGGAAGGCAATGTTGGACTTATACTACCCTTACAATGCAAAAAAAAAATTCTCGTTGTGTTTTAAATTGTAGATGATATATATCAAAGACGAGAGACCACGTTTTACCACTGACATTTCCAAACACCGAAAAGAAAACTGAAATACGACGGATAGCAGAATATCTGTGACGAACTATGACGTGTTTGGAAATGTGGTTCGACACATCATTTCAATCGAAACTTAAACTACAGAAAATCCATACTACTTAAAAATCTACCCTACTTAAATTCCGATATCCAAACATCGTCAGGATTATGATTTTCTTTGTTTAAACTTCATGAATTGTTAATGCGTTTGAGAGTAATGTCTATTAAATTCATCATTCAGGGTCTTTCATAACGTTGACTGGTTATTCAAACTAATTCTTTAGGATTCAATTACTTTAAGTCACTGATGTTTGGACCTTTGCGACGTTTTATTCGACGCTTTATTCATGCTAGTCACCTTACAGTTTTACTTACTTCTGATGGAACCGGATTGGAATGTTGTCACACAGGTTTTCAATTCTAATCGTTCCAATTCCAGGGGAGAAGTGTGTTACCACTATAGTTGTAACAGAGTCTTCTACTTCGCCATGAACGTCGACCGTGAGGGCCTGGAGCTGAGGAATCCTCAGAACTGTTGTATGCGACGAGTTGAAATTGAACGGTTGCGAGATCACGTTTGACAAGGTTGGCTTCAAAACGATAGAGCTGGACTTGTCTCTTGGCCAAAATGGCTTGCTCTATAGATGAAGCAGTTGAGATATGTTTAATAGGATGTTACTGTTATGCGATTGTTGCTCGGAGTACACTCCCCGCTAGTTCTTTTTACGTAGAATGAAAAAACCTGAAATGTTTGCGTGCCCATCATCTTTTTTAACAGGTCTTCCTCGGAATTTCATTCATTCGTACACTTAGAGTTTTATATATAATAATTATAATAAATATAAGTAAATGAGGGAGAAAATGCACAATTTGAGTCTGGAAACTGAAATAACCCAAAAGTTTTCGAGTCAATCTCCACTTATTATTAATAATGTCTCAATAGATTGTTATGAAAATACAGAACTATGAAGCAGAAAGGAGAAAAATATCACAAGTCATGATGCTTGCGTACCTTTAAAGCACCTTTTAAGATTGTGTCCTAACCATACAATTGAGACTTACTGATTTTATTATTTTCCCATTCAAGTTTATTTAATATTACTCACCTCTCCTGGTTCCACAACAAACCACAGAGCATTTTTGACCTTATTTTCAGTAAACGACACCGAGATCTAGGGGAAAAAAGTATTGCGGCAGATTGTCAGTTAAAAGAAAATGATTTATTACTTCTTAAAGCTACTATAAGGACAAACGTCACTCAAAAAAACAAACAAACAAAAAAAAAACATTCCGACAAAAATAGTGTTCTAAATAAGTAGGGGGTCTCAGGTCAAAAACCCTACCAGGACAGCTAAAAGACCCGACAATTCAATAGATAATTTAAAATGATTTGCTCGGAGCAGTGGGAATTGAGCCGATGGAATTCCTTGTTGACACTCTGCCTTAAAAAATTGTCTGGAACCCTGAACAAATAAATCAACAGTGAATATTCTGTACCTCTGTATTGTTGATGATGACGTATTTAGGAGTCAACGTCACTATCTTTGTCAAACCTGTTCTTGACATTTCGATTTGCAAAATAAACTGGAAAGGAAAAACAAAAAAGACATCTTGTTATTTCCCATTAGAAATATCGTTTCAGTTGCAGTATGTAAGAGCTTAAGCAAACCACCACCACGACAGCAACGAGAACGTCACCAAACAAAAGGTTTAATGGGCAAAACAATAGCTGTGCACGTGCGTTCATGATAAATCTTTGTACATTTCTTTGCCGTCCTCTGCAAAACAACAACGTGAAATGACCAAGTTCTGCGTCGGCTACGGAACGTGGACGACGACGGCTAATTTTTTGTATTCCCATTTAGAATTGAACGCCATCGTTGCATATTTAGCTTAAGCACGTTTTTAGAGCCATTGGCGTACCGAATAGATCTAGACAATCTCGAATTTCCCTTGTAAAATACAAATTCATTTCTTACGAGGCATCGTCCTCGTCGTTGTTCAAGCTCCCTATTCAAATGCAGGACAGGTTGTTCAAATAAGGCAGCTGTTGCAGTCATTTGTCTTTAGTGAGTCTGGAGGCTAATTGAACGGTTAAGTTTTCGAGTCAACCTACAGCCTTGGTATATCTAATTGTAGGACAGCAGAGATGAAGGAAGAATTTACAGTTTATAGTTTAATTTAAGAAATAGAAAACTAATTCGGGTATTGGTCTGAGTATAAATGATGTTTTATCGTTTCATGGAACAGCAAATAAAGTTCTTTGAAATGGGTTGGAAGTTCTTTCCAAACATCTGTTATTTGACCTTACGCGTGGTTTGGGTAGATTTTGTCGCTGTATATCTGGTATTGTAACTGCGTATATCACTGGCATGTTGGAAAAAGTTGTTGAATAGTTTACGAAAGGAAGAAGAAGTAAAACGAAAGGGTTGACATGACCAGTTCTTACAACTATCATCTCACCTCAAACTTTGTGGCCTCGCTTGCTTTACACGTAACTTTTCCAGAATCCCCCACAGCATCCAAAGAAAACTTACTCGACCAAGAATGTCCCAATACTCTGAGTCTGGCCTACAAGAATCAAGAACACCGAAACGAAAAAATAAAAACAGTTTCTAATCGCAAGGGTTCTGACATGAAAATTACGCGTCGTATTTTCAACTTTCTTCTCGATGTTTGGAAACGTGATCAAACACGGTCTTTCCTGTTTGATATTTGACTTCCTCTACCCTTGCTTAAAAGCGCGCGATTTTGGTACAAAGGCAGCCTGTGCAACCCTGTAAGTTGATTTATTGCTAATGAAATTTAATGGTTTGAGTTGTTGGTCGAGCAAACGCTGTTTCTTCACTGGTTAAATTCATCAATCGTGCTTATTTTTAGCTAAACTTTGAAACACTGCTATGTTTATCTACTGCGATTTCCATGAACAATTCTCAGAAGACGCAAATAAATACATGTCTGTCCATTGTAATTACGTCGGCAGGCGGAACAAGTGTCTTATATGGCAAGTCTTCTATCAAGCACTCAGAGAATAGCGCGAATATTAAATTCATACTTTACTGACAAGATTCAAAATCTTACCTTTCTGTAAGACTTTTCAGTGAAATTGAAGAGAAGTGGGTGCTTTTCCACAGCAAATTGCTGATAGACTTGCTTAGTTCTTGAGACCTGTGTTGAAGATCAAAAATTGAAGGTCAAGCGTCTTACTGTCTATTCCAATACAAGCAACAATCAGTCAAGTGGTACTGACCGCTTCGTCCGGAGCAGCTTCCCTTTGATTCGTTAAATTTAAGATTGCTGAGCTCTCAGATTGGCAAAAAAGGCGTCTAAAGTTATGCCCCTTTTCCCGCGATTAGCGGTAGTAACGTGTTTAGTTCGAATTCTTACAAGTTTACTGGGTCATTTCGTTCTTTGTGACTGGCCAGACGTGTTTAACTTGCAAACTGTGACGTAGTTCTTTAGAGGTAGCTATATTACGGGTAGTGTTTAAGTAACTTACCCTGTACTCGACGTGCAATCCAGTTTTGTTGATAAGCCAGTATGGGGAGTAGATAAATAGTTCTCTTGTTCCAGATTGATGCATTGATAATACTCCAAGGGACTAAAATTAAATGTTAATATTTATTTTTGAGTCATTTTCATTTATGTTCGAAGCTAATTGACAGTTGAAAAAAATTTATATGTCTTTGCCACTGCTTATTTACACCAATGAATGGATTGAGGCCCAAACGATTGTCGTAATTAACACGGCTTTTGAAATCTATACCTAAAGTAGTTTTCAACTATGGAAAGAGAGTACTGTGCTTGCTCGTATTTTCAGAAGAGGGCCCTAAAATACCACGGCTCAGTTGCTCCAGCTTTCTTAAGCTCAATAGAAATACGTTCAGAACTTACAAGTTCTTTCGCAGTTTCTTCCTGAGATTGCATTAGCAATTCTTGCGACTTGCCACCTTCTCTCTTCACAGTTAACTGTCCAATCCAGTTGACTTCTTTGTAATCTCTTAGCTACGAAGAGGGGTAGACAAAACCACAGTTCCATTTATAAAACAATGTGTACACTGTAGATTTATTATATGGCTAGCTCGCGAGCGCACAAGACGACCCAAATCCTGTGTTGCGATTGGCCAACCAGGCAAGATGGGGCTATCCTGGCCGCTCGGAATTACCCGCTGTCACGCGAAAAAACTGTTGTTCTTTGTGCCACATACTATACCTTTATCTACCTTTGACCAAGCTTGTTCGGTCAAGACGGCTGGTTATTGGCCTCGTTTTTGCGTGTTTTTGGACCTCGGCTACGTCTCTTTCTAAGAACGCGCAAGAAAAAGAACTTGACCAATATTCAGCCATCCTGACCGAATGCTTGATCAAACCCAACATCTCGACACTAAAATCGTATTCAGAAACGATCACACGAATTAAAGAGGAATTTGCATGGCCTGTTAAGTAAAGCTATCCAGACACCGTATGTATGCTTTGATGTGCTTTAAGGACAGTTGGTTGTGGTTTACTACATCGTTAACGCCTTATGAGCATCACTGTACAATGTACTTTATTACCGAGCCAAATTTCTCGACAGCGAGAGCGAGAGGAACAATGTTCATGTAACTTTCCGAATTTTCGTAAGAAATTTTGAAACCCACCGCTGCGAACTTTCCTCCGCACGTTCGGAAAGCTAAGCGAAATTTCGCGAGAAATCTAAACAACTACCATTCCGAAAATAACNCGTTTTACTAACATTTCCAAGCTGTTTTCTCGGTGTTTGCAAATGTGGTAAACCACGGTCTCTCGAGTTTGATATATTACTTCGCCTCCAGCAATTGCAAGCTTATGTATTTTATTGTTACACAGTTCCTTCAAAATATGCTTTTCAGAATGGCTTCAACTTTTGCCCATAATTGAAGGCCTGCCGTTGTTTCCATCCAACAAAATACGTCAACTTATATCTTGTATTGATATCTTTCTTTTCATTAGACTCATTTCCTAATAATATGGAATTAACAGAACCATGAATAGCAGGTATCCAGCAATTACCTCTTGAAGCACAGCATCTTTTGGAGAAAGCTTATGTAAATACGATCCAGATCGAGCAATAGAGATGAGAGAGACATTGTAAAATCCATCCACCTATGGGAAAAAGTAATACAAAAGACACATCAAGTCTTCGAAAACCGGTCAAAGGAGCGGCGTCACTTAAAATAACTCATGATTTCTGAATATTTCAAGTTTGTCTTGTGTACTCGGTCAAACCTTTCTGTTGTAAGCTTCGATCCCCTGTTTCGTAAGATTTGTTCACACCTTTTTTCTATCTTTCTGATTTTTATTTCTAGGTTCTTGTCACTTTGAGGGTAGTTCTGGATAACTCAAAAAAAAAAAAAAAAAACTAAAATATCAGCGCAGGTTCCCTAAGAGACTACATGTATCTACATAAGTTAAATAACATGTGTAATTCCCCTTGTAGAATTTGGAAACTTTCGATATCATATCGATAGATCCAGTGAGGGAGAAATGGAACTCACAGTCACAGAGATAATGTTGTCATCGTCCACAGCACTATCAGGTCCTGCAGCTTCACTATCTTGTTCGTTGCTCTCTGCAACATGATGTGGTGCAAAAATTCCACCAACTAGGGCACCGATGTTGGCAATGGTATGACCGACGTCAGTTTCTGCAGGTATAAACAAAATACCAAGTTCTTCACCTTCGACGTAGTATCTGAGTATAAGAAACTATAAGCTCAGCTGTTTACTCCATGTTGGACTTAAAGTGTTTGACGCAACTAAAGATTCAGTCTGGATTGTCTAGGGTTGTTCACCATTTACCCAAAAATGCCGGGAATTTGGGTCACAATGTAAATGGTAAGACTGAAAAGTTTGGCTCGACCGACCGGAAAAAACGTCTTGAAAGGTAGTCCAAAATTTTTGACCGATATATCCGAGTGGAAAATGCGCTTAACATTTGCATTTCCTCACCGCCATCTTGGAATTATGATCAGGTTGAACTCGTCCTAGTCTCTTTCAGTAAAATCGGGGTCTTTGAGTAAATGATAAATGGCCGAACTGAACTGAACTTACCATCGGGCATTTTTGCTTACCATTTACAAACTGTTGGAGAACCTCTTTCTGTTTTTTTGTTTTTTTTTGTTTTTGACTCACCAAAAGTAGAACGAGGATCATTTTTTTCATGTTCTTCTGGGGGTGGATGGGCACTTAACATCTCAATATCGTTGTTTGCCTTTATAGCTATGGCTTCATCCTCCGGTATCGACTCTTTGCTTGGACTTGAAGATAGCTTAGGACCTTGTGGTGACCTTGCAGTTTTCCCACCGCACTCTGCGGCTGAATCTGGAGACAACTTTTTCTTGAGACTGCTTGTCTTCCCTTGCTGTTCGCCAATTTGGAAGGAGACCGGATTCTGCTGGAAACGTTTTCGTTGTCTGATGGCCTCTAGTGATAAAGGTTCAGAAGAAGCTCGTTTCTTTCTTATTTTTTGTAGTTTGTCCCTGAGGTGATTAAAGAGAGGCTCAGACAAGATGCGCTTTAGGTCCCGGTGTTGACATTTGTTGGAGCTATTGGGCAGCTCCATCGCGACATCTGCCAGACTCTGCTGTCTGACAGCTGGCTGTTTTCGAGTTCTCTGACGAACCGATAGTTGATCCGTGTCTGGAACCTGATGAACAGAAAAAAAAAGATATGACAAAGGAAGATAAATGGACGGAAAATGCACGTCTTCCTCCTTTTGCCAGTGAAACATTACATTACAAGACTTGTGTATTTACAACTGTACAAACTTGAATCTTGTTTTGCGTTTTGCCGGCATGAACTTCGCAGAATGTTACACCATCAACACTGGGGCCTTAGCGGACAAAGAAAAAATTCCTTTATGGAGCTTTTTGGCGTTCTCGAAGAGTATTAGCCGAAGCAATTCCATGCACATGTGAAATGTTCTGTATGAGATTGTCACGTTTCGCATATACACAGAAAACAAGTTGATTAGTTAATCGCTTAGAAACAAGGGTGACACTTAATAGTTTTCAAACTAATGAACTTGTGGCCCTCTTACAAGTAGCTCAGCATAAAAAAAAATTACAAATAAAAATCTTAAAAAATCTTATTAAAAAAGCAAAAACTAGATAAGATTAAGATTTAAAAAGCTAAGGTAAACCAAAACATAAGGTAAGATCATACTACTTAACTTACTCGATCTAAAAAGTATTATCTAAGAATCAAAGGAGTAAAAATTAAATACTTATAGTCGACATGGCTATTATCACAGTCGACATCGGAAAGTCTATCTCCATTGGTTCTATCCGACACACAATATTCAAGAACGGATAACATACCTGATGGTTCGGGCTCACAGTAACTGCTGAATGAATTCCAAGCTACGAAAAAACAAACAAATCTATCCGTGAAATGATTTTAGCAGTACCTTTTGTAGTTTTCAGTGACATATCCTAAAGAATTCCATATATAATCACACCTATTATTTGCACTCTTAGATTTATTTTGTGCTAACTGGTGCACAGGCCAAAAGCTTGGCTTTAAAGCTAACAAAATAAATTCAGTTTATTATTAGTAAATTGCTCAAAGCAATACAAGATAAGAAACGCGACTGCCGTTGCAGCTACCATTGCTGATTTCGTTACCCTCTCCTGTGAGGTGACATTCGTGGTACATATAACGGAAATCCGTGATTTTCATTGGTTTTTTTAATGCGCCTATTAAAATGCAAAGTTTAAACTGAAATAGAACTGATATAGCGTAGATGAACACTTTGCTCTTAAGTTCAACAGCAAAATCTATTACACTAAGCCAAGAAAAACAATAAAATGGAGCATGAAAAAATTGAAAAAAAATGAGATATGTTAAATCTAATTACGTAGCCCACTTTTCAGATTGTACCTCATTATGAATGACAAATGTTGGTCCTGGAACTGTTCTTAGCTTCTTCCTTCTATCCACTGTCCATAGCTACGAACCACAAACAACAAACAACAAAAATAGCACTGTTTGCCATCGAATGACGATTTCCAACAACAGTTTGTCTAATTCTAATGTTGAAAACACAATCCTGTCCGAAATACTGTTGAACGTTAAGAGAAGAAAAACACTAATTTCAAAATAACGTAAAATTAGAAGTGAAAGTAGCATTAACCCTTACGCGGCTCTTGTTTAATCCTGGTTTAATGCAAGAAGGTACTAGGCAACAAGTAGTAAGGCGTGAACTGGCAACATTCTTTCTTAATGATAGTACCTCACTCAGTTCAGATAAGATCTGTATAGCTCTTGGCGTAACAGTCAGCTGCAAGTCGTCATGTGAATTGATGACCACATAAGTAGCTTGCGACTGTCTGTCTCGATCGGTAGCATCGACTTCATCAGGTGGTACTGCATCTATTGCATCTACAGCGTGGTAGCTCTTGGCATCGCTGGTGGGGTCTGCAAACACCCTTTTCGTGGATTGGACAAAAGTGGCCATGGCTCCTTCATAGTCAAGATCGTCTTCATCATCAGATGTGGTGTCAATTGGATACTGACGACCCTTTGATCTCTTTCCTGACCTGCAATGGCATATCAGTTACTCCAGTAAAAAGTTTTAGCAAGCAAGCGCCCCAAACTGCAAGACAAGTTCCCTTTGCAAATCCGGCAGGAAATACTTGCTTATGAAACGTTTTCCGAAACTGAATGGGAACAACTGCATGGTAATTGACGAATGACCAAATCTCTCGTGATATATCGTTCTTACAAAAAGAAGACAACGTAAAATGCAATTATACAATAAAAGAATTGGAAAGTAGATAAATGGCTTTTTACACGACTGCTACGACCTGAAGACAAATGCCAAGAAAACTACCGACTCGTGTGCAACATATACCTGAGAGACATACAATGAGTATTAACACGGATAGAGGAAAATGAAACAATTTAGTTTTCCCATATGTCTAAAATGAAACCTTACCATCCTCGCCTACCGGAACACTGCAACGAAGACAGTCGCCGGGGCCGTTTAATGGAAGTTCTTTTCTGTGCTTGAGACCGTAAACCAGAGTCAGTCACATCCGCAGGCTTAGAAGCATCTGTGATGTCTCGCGGAGGACCGTCGCACGATTCCACATCTTTTGGAGAGAAGCTTGATACATACCCTTCTGCCAGAAAGAGCTAAAGAGGAAACATTGACCAATCACAAAGACAAATTTTGGCCGCTTATTTCTGAAAAACGTGGATCGTACAAAATTAATTCTGACTATTACATTTTTCATTATTTTACAAAGAGCAGATGGAAGCAGTGACATCCCAGATTGTTACCTTAACTTGTACTTTCCACATGGTCTTCTCTTCCTCCACGATTACCGGCTCAAGTAACGGTTCCCAAGCGGCCAGACATTCATTGTAGTACGAGACTTGAGCCGCCACATCTCCTTCTACTTTGAGCTAGTTAACAAAAACAATCAAACCCGGAGGTAAGTCATCAACTAGTTGTCTGGAGGCGGCGTGGCCGAGTGTTTAGGACGCCGGGCTTGAAATCCGCTGGTCTTGAGTCCCGAATCTCGGTAGACCCTTGTTCAACTGTTCGGCAAAGAGCCAGCCAACTGGTCTGCCTCCCTTCAATTGGGATTTTTAAGCCTATTACGTTTATTTAAAATATTGTTTTTTCTTTTTTTTTTTTNGCAGCATCCACCTGGTTAAGAGCCCCAGTTGCAGTGATAACTTCACTTTCAAGCCTATGCAAGGGCACATCCCCGTTTCCAGGATCAAGGACTCGACCAGGGGAAGTAACGAATGATGTTTGGCTGGCAATTGTGGTTTGACGCTGCTCCCGCTCATACAAATCAGACGATGGGGCGGTGAAGAACTCCAGTAAAGGAAGTATAAAAGGAAAGTTCACAAAGATGGTAGCATTTTGCAAGGAAATGTCGACTGAAATTAAAGAACAAGAAGAACTTTTAACATTTTTGTGTGAAGACAACTTACAAGATTAACAATGCATTTTAGACCAGGCAACTGTTGCTTTCAACAATTTTTTTCCAATTTGTTTGGGTGTTTTTTCTTTACTTAGAAACTACAAAATCGATATGAATGCTTGTCAAACAAAGAGGACTGTTATATTTCCAAACGATTGTTGAAAGCCAATGAAGCAGAGTATAGTTACTGTATTTGTTTAAACGTAACAAGTAAACATTTTACTCGGAGTAGAAGCTTTGGATTATTAAACATTTTGAACAAAGTTAGGAATATCATTTCACGACAACGGCAGTCTCCTTGCGTTTGGGCTCATTTAAACGCAGGCATTCCATCTTGAGATCAAAATTTTCATTTTTGCGAGCTGGAAAGCCCAGAACTGCACCAGTTGTTTCACAAAACGTCTTTAATTTGTGTAGAACTGTTTTTATTAAAGATCAGCCATGAGAACAAACCTTTCATCTCTCCAGAAGGCAACTGGCAGAAAGCTATGTCACACATTTCTTTGCTGGGAGATTTTGTAACACTGGCATTTGTCGCCTTTTTCTTGTCGATTAACCTTTGATCAAAAATGAAATTAACTTATCAGTGACTGATGAATCAAGACGAACTTCATCGACAAAACTGCAATAAAAGTAAGCATTTGTGTTACGCTTACCTTGGAAAAGCAGAAACTGTTCCTTTTCTAACGTCTTCCACTACGCAGCCATTAAGCATGCAATGAATTTGAACAGATCTGTCACTGGGCAAAACAACGGTAACCACACTTTTGTCCACTTCACACAGACATAACCGTGTTGCTGGATCGCAAAACGATGACTGGGAATCAAACGGATCCTGCAAGACATAAAGATATATCAAACTGCCTTGCAACGATCTTTGCGGTCGGGAATCCTTAAGCCTTAGGTCTTTCACAGTTAGGTGCTGAATGAACTGATACCCAAGGTTAAATGGTGCATTGCAGCAGTAAACTACGTGAACACGTCAAGTGACAAGGAGGCTAAAGTGGCCCTTACTCTGTCACTTAAGGTACATTCGTTCGTTCGTCTGGATCAAGATCAATGATCTAACATCACTCAGATCGTGGCGCATCAAAGAAACTGATGAATCCTTGCCGAGAGTGGATTCACCGGTTCTTTTGCTGCACCGATCAGGATCAATGATGCAAGATCACTTAGATCATGGTGCATCAAAGAAACCGATGCGCCCACAATGGATTCACTGGTTCCTTTGATTCGTCATGATCCGGTGATCAGAGATCAGGATCCTGATCCGTATCATCCCAAAGAAACGCTCCCTTAGTTTATTGTGTGCGTTGGGTAAATTCAAGACTTCTCTAAAATAAAAATTGATTTGTATCTCAATAAGAAACTAGCAGCGTACAGGAACAGTGAGAAGTCTTCAGGTTCCTTAAAGAAAACGCTCGACTAATAAAGCACATCTGCTCAGTACCTCGGCCCCTTTGTACCACAACACAACATTTCCTTGTGATATGATTGCGGTAATTGATTGCAAATAACTTACCAGAGGTTTCTCATTACTGTACAGAGTAAGGCTCGCTCCGGCAAGATCAAATGAAAACACCATCTGATCCCACACTGTGTCAGTAGCTTCCTGAGTTGGACCAGGTTCTATGAAGACAAACCACTACATATATCTGTTGAGCTGTTACATGTGTTTCACTAAGGAACAGGTATCATGATTATTCAGTAAAATATACAGCTGTTTTAGGAAACGTATATCAGAAATAAAATTATCTTCACCACCTCTACGCTTATTCCATAATCACGCAGCAACTACTGTACTTCTACCCAAGTAGCTAAATTTACAATGCTCAATCCACTGGAATCACACTACAAGCAGAGACGTCCAAAAACAATCCAATCATACCTGATGAAGCATTAGTTGCAATAGTAGGTTCAATCTGTTCTTCTTGTTCCTCTGCCAAGTTTTCAGATGTTTGATTTGCCTCTACAAAACAACAAAAATGGACGTATCATATCAAACACGAGAGAAAACGTTCATCATAATTTCAAACAACGAGAAGAGAGTGCCTGGAAATCTCAATAAACACTGCCTCTCGTGTTTTCTATATGCCCTCAATTGATACTAAACCTACGGAGAAACAGGGAAATATTATCATTACCATCTATGGTAATTATGAACACATTTCCCAACACTGTGACGATTATGACTACTTTTGTGTTAATACACTGAATTATCAATGACCCTGAGAAGCTGACTCTGGATGTAGACTAATTTAATGCTTTGAGAACAATACACTGGTTCAGTAACAAACACGTGTTACCTTCCATCAAAGCGTAACTTTCAGATTCCTTTAGATTTTCTTGAAAAAGTGTAGTGAGTACGTGGTAATCTTGTTGACCCAGATTCATCTATAAAAAAAAAGAAGGAAATATAAAACAAATTTCGCAAACTTGATATTGCAGCTGCGAATTCGCAATTGAGGGGAAAAAAGGTAACATTCATTTACATGCAATGGAGCCACGTCTCCGTATAAAACTTTTAAAACATACAAAATCTACATAAAATGTGATATGATCACGTTTGTTACCACTTTTAACGATAAATACCGAGAAATTATGGTGTTCAAAAGTCTTAGCGCTAACCAACATTACTTCAGCCAACTCTGACAACAGTTCATGGTACAGAATGATCTTTAGCATGATGCGCCGGAAAGAGGGCCAAACCTGAACCAGAATTTAATCGGTATTACGCTGGCATACGTTGTTTTAAGAAAGACATTCAAGAAATTTCACACAACCAACGGTGACATACCTTAACAAAGTCCAAGGTGGCAGAACATTCTAGAACCGGGACGTCTTGGCAAGAAGGCTGCAGTGAACGTTTTATGTTCGCATCAAGTTTTATTGGCTCGATAAGATGTCGCTTGACAACAGCAGATGAACTTAAATCCATGACACCCCTACAGCCGGACAAAATAAATGACGAAACACATCTACTGAACACTCCAGTTAACATCATCTAAATCGCATTCCAGTTACTTGAATGTACAATTCACTGATACATGGTGGATTTGAAGTTTTTAACTTACTTGTTCCTGTAGGAACAAATTAATCGACATTTTGAAAAACACAGGTTGAAAAACCTCTAGTTTGGAACATTCACCATTCGCGGAAACTAGTGTTCCATGGGAAACTAACGAACACCTTCATTTATCTCCAAAATTTAGATTTAAATTGAGATTCTTACCATAACAATTTAGATTCTCTTCGTTTACTGCTTAGTAAAGAGGTTTACAAAAAGGAAATTAATTATCTTATCTGATGAAGCATCCTGCGGCTTCAGAACAAAAACTCGGACATTTCTCGAAATGATGACTGTATTTTTCATACCATACACTGTTTAATGGTTGAAAGTACTCCGAAGGACACAAGGAATAATCCATTCTGGTCCTCCACTACAGAAAAACAAAAAACAAAAAACAAAAACATGCTAACCTCGCAAGAAATGTGGCCTACCTCGTTAGCTGCACTGATTGTAGAGACAATTCCATGACATCAAATACACTCTCCTTGTCGTCGTGTTCACCTGGCAATGGTAGAAGATCAAATTCATTCTGAAGATCCAAATGTCCCAGATCAACAAGAAGCATATCGACCGAGTGAGAGTGGCGCGGAATTATCACGAGTGGAGCACTGATTGCCACTTGTAAAGCAATGCGGGTTCCCTGGCTTTGAATCGACTCTATCTGTAGAAATCAAACATCAAAGTGTTAGGGAAGTATACCAATTGAAGAAGAAATTCAACAATTTCCACCATCCGATTCATATTTAACACCGATGTCGTTTCAGGATTATAGAAGCTGATGCAAAGAAGGGGATAAGAGAAGTGAATGTGTATAAGAGCGAGAATGATGATGTGGATGAAGATGATGATGGAGATGAAG